ACTTCTAAAAATAGGTCCACTCATTAGTTTTGAGATCCTCTTCTAGTTCTATTTTTTGTATTGCTTTTGATTCTTTCTAGTTCATAGCTACTTTGCTGAAACCTTAAAAAATTTAACAATACAATTATTATATTATTATCATATTATTTTTATATAATTATTAGCATTGTTAAATAGCATTGTACAATGCATTGTAAAAGTATAGTTATATATTGTTATTACATTATAACAATATAAATATTATGCTTTTATAATTATTTATCTTTTATTAAAAAATTGCAATAAATATATTATAATATTATTAAAAAAATGATAATAAAAATATAATTCTTAAATACTTTATTTATAAAAACTATACAATTTACATATTTTTTTATTTATTTTGTTATACAAATATTATATAAACCAATAACAATCAAATTACAAAAATAATAATAAAATCTTTCTAAATACATTCTCAAATATATACCAATACTCTATTAAAATAATTTTTTATCATTTACTAAAAAAACATAAAATTCGATTCTATAGGATATATTAATAACAATACCACTATAACCAATAGATTAAAATACTCTACTAAAAAAAAATAAGAAAAAAGTAATAATAATAACACTAATAAGAATAATGAGGATGACGACGAAATTGGCGGCAAAGTTGGCGACGAAGTTGGCGACGAAGTTGACGACGAAATTGGCGACGAAGTTGGCGACGAAGTTGGCGTCGAAGTTGGCGTCGAAGTTGGCGTCGAAGTTGGCGTCGAAGCTGGCGATGAAAATGGCGACGAAAGTGACGACGAAAATGACGACGTAGCTGACAACTAAGGTGGTGTCGAAGATGCAAAAAACGGTGAAAAAAATGTACCAACGAAGGCACCAACGAAGACACCAAACGAAGGCACCAACGAAGGCACCAATGAAGGCACCGACGAAAGCACCAAAGAAGGCACATAAAGATGTCAATAATGATTATATTAGATAGCTATGTAACACGGACTTTCAAAGGCTGGAAATGCCGAAACAAAAAAGTAAATAATCAAAAATTGTCCTAGAAATATTAAAAATAAGCGAATAACTTGTAAAACTGAAAATATCTACACAGTGACTCTTAATATACGAACCCCTGATATAACAGACTAAGTAAAATCTTGATACAACGGACCAAGGTTTAGATCATACTATAATAAATCTGCTTGATATAATGGGCTTATTAATAAACTCATCATATTGCGGAATTTAAGTTAACTTCTCTCTAATTGCCCAAACAATGCGTTATATCAAGAATCGCTGGGTATTTTCAGAAATCATAAGAACAGGCACATATTAGATGTTGCATGTTGTTTATGCATGTAGTTGATCTGGGCGGTAGATTAACGGAAGCACAAAAGTTATTATACATTCTACAATAAAAATAATTTAAAAATGTCTTATCAAATTTAATTCTCATTAAACGATTTATACTTATCTTTTTCAGTCGATTCTTAAACAAGAACAATTGTTAACTTATTGAATTATTACTTCCATCTTTTTAATTCCTCAACTCTTAAATAATAACAATGGCTAACTTAATAAGTTAATTATATTCGTAACATTAACTTCTCGATTTTTAAATAATAGCAGTGGCTAGCTTGATACATCTATTGGAATTATCTGTGAATCATAGAATAAATAGAATTAATACTTTCTTAATTTATAACGAAACAAATAGGGGTATAATAATTTTACAGGTGAGGATCGTCGCAAAATCATGTCAGAAATTTGTCAAATGATCTAAGCGTGACCAGGTGATTCCAAACTACACATATCAAATAAAGTATTCGTTTATTTCTGTCTTTGAGTCAATCCATATATCTTACGCTTACTACTATCATCCACATTTCTTGAGACTGTCAAACTTTATAAAATTAAATTTACATTCATTTAATAAAGTGTACGATTAATAATGATTTACTTACTTCCAAAATCACGGGGCTTTCCATTAGGCCTGACAAGGTCTTAAATGCAACGGTGCTAGAAGGTTTACAAGTTACTATCTTCTTTATCAAGGTTTCGTATATCGTCCAACCAGGTTACAGGAAATACAAAGCAAAGTCTACTTCAATTTTTTATTGTCACCTAACTTGCCAAATGTAATCTATTCAATCGTGCTTAATTCTAAGATAGGAACCCTTTCATGCAGTCATCAATATCTATTTTCACTTATTCGTCCCGAATTACTATGTGGTATTTTCTATACAAATTTAAATATTAGGTTAATCAACGTTCGTTATATTCACGCTTTAAATAGTAATCATGACCTTAATAGCCTCTTAGATTCATTGATGTTCTTCATATTCGCACTGAAATTAACCTAAATATGATTTGCTTATTTTACACTTAAATTAATCGATGTTGATTTTATAATCACATTAAATATTAAATATTCATGAGCTTGAATGGCTTATTTTAAGTTCTTTATATTCGCAGACTAAATAAATGCAAATAAAATAAAATTCAATAGTAAATATTCATAAACTCGAGTAGTTATTTTAAATACTTAACAAATGTTCTTTATACTTACTCACGTGCTAAATTAACGTGAACCAATTAAATAATAAATATTCATAGAAAAAAATTGAACGATCAATATTATGCCATTGAATGCATATTATTCAAAAGATTAAATGTGAGAGAACTTCGTCTAAATTCTATTAGGTAATTATAAAAAGCACGAAGATGATAAAATGCTCTTATTATGAGATAATGTAATAACAAATTAACAATACTTCTCGGGAGTGCAAATATGCAATTGAATGAAACCAGAATTGTCGAATGGCGATAAACCAAACTAAGAATAATCATTGAAATGGAAGAAAGGTTGGTAATGAGACATTATCCTAGATGTTAAAATCATTAAATTTTGAGATCCAATAATTGTTATGTATTATAAAAATTACTATTTTGGGGAATTTTAAATTTACTCACCAATTGTAATTCAATATAAAAATATGTTATTTAATTTGTAAGCATATATAACATAAATTGTACCAATATTAATGAATAAAAATTAATGAAATATAAAAAAAAAATGTTTCTTTGATGCGATTTGTGTTACTTAAATAGCTGTATAATAAAATTCATTTCGAATATATTGGTTATTTGAGTAATCGTGCGAAGTTGAAGTACATGTGGAATAACAACAGTGCACGAAGTGAACCTTCGGTAAATTATTTATAAGGCATATTGGGTAAACTCGGTGCCATCGCGTATTTTCACCTGTTTGTTTTTCATAAACTTGGCAATGAAGAATTGAATCAAATGAGCATTCCCGCAATCAATCAACCCAAACGAACGGATATACTAAACCATCATTATATTTATGTGTAAATATTCCTTTTAATATTGCATACGATATACCATTTTCTTCCTGAATTTGCACTATGTCACCAGAGTGCGAATTCATATTTGTTTCAAACGTTCCATCGTCATTTAACAAAGTATATCTTATTTGTTAGTAAAATTCGACTTGTCTATATATCAAAGCGGCTCTTTTTCGCATATAAATTTCATATGCACTTATTATATCATGGGTGAACTGAAGATTTACATCGAGTTTTACGGGTAAAGAAAGTTTGTGGACTTCACCTTTCAACAACCGTTTTTGTGCTTTGATACTTCTTATTTTATCATCATGTGACGTGATACTTGTATCTATTGCAATTAAAAAAATTACGATTATTATAATGAATAATAAAGATTATTAAAATTTTCTAGTAATTCGCCAAAACAGAAACTCCGGGCTATAATAAGAACTAATAATATATAAAAGTTAGAAATTTTGTATTATGACCTTAAAATTAGAGTATATGAAGAAACGTTACCTACTGTATTTGTAAAATTACAATTTTAGTGCCTATGATCTTTTCACTACGTAGTACCAGATTATTTCCTTTTCAAGAACCTTATATCATTAATTAAGTTGATTTATAATTACGTTGATTGCTAATAATAACTACGCATAACTAAAAAATAATTAGACTGTATATAGAATATTATTACCTGGCTTGAGGTTTGAATATTTGGCGATATTTTGAGGTTTTGTTAATGAAAAATTAATGTATATATACTTACTGATATCGGCCATATCTTCTTCTTGAGGTTTCTGTGACATATACCAATCAGATAATATTGGTTGAAGTAATGGATCCGTCGTTAAATTTTGAAAACCCTGTCCAACATTTAGAAAGCGATCATCTTTGCCTCCGTCGATTAGATAACAGATTGTTTGGAGTGTATTATGCTGACGAATAAGATCGAACTCTATATTCTTGCAATTCATTTTTGATACAGAACTTTTGAATATTTTATGTACTGCTTCTTTAATACCCACAGAGATATTTACGAGCGTTCCAAAGTTGCGAGCATTCTGAACATGATGCCGGTTTATATGTAAATTTGGCAAATTATTGAAATTATCTGGAAAAAGCTAAATACGAAAACATAAAAATGTTAATTATATTGAACCAATAAAATTATTATTAAAAACACCTTAATTTTTAAGGATTTTAAAAAATAATTTTTTTATATCTGCAAGGGGTTCCTAATTTAAGAATACGTAACTAAATAACATCGGCGGATCTTATATTAATTTTTAAACCCTCACATATACAATATTATAAGAAATGTCATATACAATATTATAAGAAATGTAAAAATACAGATTTATACTGAATATTATAAGGTATACAATATTCACCTTTAGTAGTAGAATATGCTCATTTTTTAAAGCCTCATCTAGCTCCACATATGTTTGTTCGGTAAAAGTAAACCTAAAACTTATACGGGAAGCTTTCGCGACAGCCACCCAGCATGAAATGATCTTATTCACAATTTGTGTAGCTGATGGACTCCTTAGTTGTGAGTTGGTTGATGATGTGAGTTGTTCTCGTAGCGAAGCTAGATCACTATCCTTGATATGCGATGTTTTTAAAAATCATCGTAATAAAAATGGCATTATCATAGCTAACCGTAAACAGTCAAAAAACATGAAACTGTTAAAGTGCGTGATTGGGTTAGGGAGACAGGACCAGCCTGTGAGTACCTCGAAATTTTCCAATAATTTAAAAATGTATATTTTCCTCTTGGATTTAATATTGAGAAAGTACAATATATTAATCTTTGTACCTTCAATAGAAGAATAAAATAAAAATTAATAGATATTTAAAGTGAATAGAAATTCAATATTAAATATAATAAATAAATGGAACGCCTCTATGCGTTTCTATGATATATCATAAATAATAATAATAAATAAAAAAATAAAAATAAAAAAAATCTTTGAACCTTCACAGCTATGGCATGGTACCCGTCCTGGGGTGTTTGTAAATATCGGTTTCGTGTCAGATGATTTAAAATACTAGGTCGTTCACTTAAACTATGCTTCGTACAATAATCATTGATCATTTTTTGCAACGCCTTCCCTTTTTTTAATTCTTCTAATTTATTTATTATTTTGTTTGTAATATGATGATATCTTGTATTTAACTTAACATCAAAACTAAGATCACTTAATTGTTCCTTAGGTACCAGACAACTCCTACATCCTAGGATACTACTATGACACTTCGTATCTGCAAGATCATTACCCTGGGGAAGGTCGGCGGTTACGACACCTAAAGCAGCAATTACCCATGTATCGTGACCCGCAATATTCATTAAGGTGCCTTGTTCTAAAATTTTAATTTGATCTACAATTGGTTTTATAACATCATCAAATTTACCTCCAAATGGGACAAAACCCAAAACAAAGTGATTTTTTAATTGTTTTCTTAGACATAAAGGCATGTTACAAAATTGGAGGTAAATTGCACCCAACGAATGATATACATTACAGAACGTGCTGAAGTCATCATAGTAAATGTTTAGCATGATTTTTAATGTAGGTACGTTATTAGGTGCTGACGTTGGAGGTTGAGTGTATTCACTTGGGTGACGATGTTGCAGTTTGCAGTCCCTGATTTTCCACCAGCCTTCATTGCTATACAAAATTTCTCTTACATTAAATTGATAATCGGGTGGCTCTGGTGTATCATGGAGCCAAACCGTAACTGGCCCAATAACGGTAAGTGGATCAATCAAGTTGGTCACTTCACTTAACCATAATTCTCCGTCCCGTGAACCTTCTGTTCTTATTGAACTTAAAAAATTTTTTGGCAATTCGGAAGCAAAATAAAGAAGTTGAACCTTCAATTTGATACCGTGGGAAGTTGAGACTATCGCTAAAATTCTTCCTATTCTTATTTGATTGTTTCTGTACTTAATAAACGATCCTGTTTGATATAATTCTAAACATTATTTATTAGTTATTATCATGAAAAATCATTTAAATTATGCTTGCTGGCAAGCCAAAACACAAAAAAAAAATAAAATAAACAAATATGTTCTGTTTAATAAGTTAATAAAATATTCGGATATCAGGCTGCTTGAAATTATAAATTCGTTTAACGTTCCTCTTGAGGTTTACGCACAGTGGGATTAAACAAACATTATATACCACCTCAAAAAAATTTCTATTATTATTGGTTGGGCCGAGGTCACTTGACTTATTGAAATCTCAAAGACATAATGGACATTTTGGTTAGCTTGTTTAATTTAAGGGGGCTCTTGGAGGTGGTGGGAGAGAACGTTAAATGAAATTGTAATTTCAAACGGCCTAACAATAAATTAAACATAATTTTGAATTTGAGAGCAAACAAATTAACAATATAACAGTTTAGGATTTTGCCAGTAAGTGTACACATGCAATTTTCATAATATCATTGTTTATTGATATGGAGGATAGGCCAAAGAGGGGAGACTTCTGCCAAATACTGCTGTGCCAGAACTCAGATTTTGTATCTGCCTCAACACCGGGTTCAAAATATATTTGTGATCTTAAATCTTTATTGTTTAGAACCCTTTTGATATGTTCGTTTACAGATATTGTGTAAACGTTTTTGATAGGTGTTGATGTTGATGGTGTCTTCAGATTTTGAATTGGAATTTGATGGCACTTTATTTCTTGTAAGGGGAGTTTGCTACGCAATGACTTTAACCACCGAATATTCTGAATTGCATGTTTAGGTTAAAATTTTGGATGTTGGATGATATTTGCCAGATCTTCATACGCTTTTGTTGCTATATAGTAACGATAATATTAATAGCAAATGATTACTTACAGTAAAAAATAACAACTTATATTTTTACTAATACTTACTAATCATATGCTTAGAGACCCAAATAAAAAGTGACATCTCCGTAAAATTTTTAAAATACGGACCGTATTCTTTGGGTAGTAGCTGAAAATCAATTTCGCTATCTGCTATAACTTGTTTAAATTTTTCTGTATCTGTCGCCTGGCCATTATTACTAGACATATCTGAAGTCATAGACAAACTGCATTCAAGATCATCATTGATATGCTGATTTCTATCAGAAAAATTCTCTGGCAAGCTTTCAATATCAGAAAAATTTTCTTGTAGACCTTCGTTGTCGAAGAAATTTTCACATAAACTTTCGCTGCTATCATCTCCATTGCTTATTGGTAAACATTCTTTTTGTAAGTTTCTGGGAATCATACGTGTAACACATTTTCTTAATACAACTTTTTTGGTTGGTTTTTTTGTTCTTATTCTTTTCATTTTTAAATAAATAGACTGAATTATAAAAGTATCAATGATAAAAAACAACGTTAAAATAGTTAGTCATATATATATATTTTTTTAAAAAATACATATATGGTTTTCTGTATAACTTTAAGAAAGAAAGCTATTTACTTTGTGCTAATTCAAGCTTATAAACTCGATTATATCAAATGCTTAATAGACTTTGAGCGACGGTATTTAAGACAAAAGTTGAAAAGAATTGTGAAATTTTTGAATAATATATTTGGGAAGAATGAAAAAAAGGTGAAAAAGACGTAAGAAGGTTTTTAGTAACAGTATTTGGAAAGAAGAGAAAGGTGAAAAAAGATGTAAGTTTTTGAGTAACAGTATTCAGG